GACAAGCGTGCCATCCTGAATTAAAAATATAAAAAAAGATTAACAAATAAGTTAAAGTCACACCCACTATTTCCTTTGTCTATATTTTTGTATTTTTATTCATTTGTAGTTTCATAAACTTTATTGTAATTGCAATAAGAACCAAAAATCCATTATGCAGTGTCGTTAATATTGTCTTTCGGTACGCTATTGTAATAAACGATTCTCAATCCTAACCACTTTGAAAAAAAGGTTGAAAATACCACAGCCGTGGACGAGTTATACTGAAAAAATCGATTAAGGTAATTTCGTCAGTATGGCATATAGCTTTAAGTTCCTTTTGCTATTAATGTAAAGTTTGCTATCACATTGGCTTGGATTTGTTTGGCATTGGTGTCGAGGTCGCTTTGGTACTTTGATAGATAAAATTATTGACTTTAAGTCAATGTCAAGTTTGGGTTTAGTTTGCATTGTGTTAATCTGTTTCCCACTGAAATAAGAAACAATGGACGCTAGTTTTTTTCTTTTTAAGTGCTTCATTGTGTTTAGGAAGTTTGTACCTACATACATAAGTACACTTTATATTAGTCGAATCGTTATCTACCAGAGATAAGGATCTAAGGATCACATCACATCATGTTGATATTCGACCGAGTTTCTTGTTCGTTCTTCTCCATACGAATCTAATTATGTAATTTGGAACGAGCACCTAGCATCACTGACAGATAGACTGACAGACTATTCCACAGAAATATTAAAAAAGGACTATTCTATTTTACGTGAATGGAAAATAGATAAATGCTTTATTGACTGTACCTATGTTATTTCCTAAAATAATAGAGTACCTAGAGAAGGTAGGTGATTTATTGGCTACATAACATAACATAACATCACGCCTTTTTATCCCCGAAGGGTTAGGCAGAGGTGCACATTATGGCACTTAATGCCACTGTACAATGTAACACCCACTTATCACTATTTATTGTATTTATGTTATGAGTCTCAGTAATAAGGGGTGAGCCCCTATTGCCATATACCGGGCACATTTCCAGACTCCGTGCTACTGCTGAGATTTTTAAAAACCCAGTAATACTTTGCCCGACCCGGGAATCGAACCCGAGACCCTTTGCCCGGCAGTCGCACTTGCGACCACACGGCCAACGAGGCAGTTATTGGGTACCTCTATATTATTAATGCATTTCAAATAAAATTAATGAATACTTATCAGTATAAGTCTTGAATACCTAAATAAAATACGCGCAAAACATCATCAATATTACATTGTGCGCAATAACACTTATTTATTTATTTATTTATTTATTTACGGACAACCAACAAAGCATACACCAAAATACATGAAAGGTTTTTATCATAATATTTTAACACTCTATAGTGTAGACTTCATTAAATGCTGCCACGACATGCATTATAAAAGAACAGGATAAACAACAAAAAAAAAAAACAAAAAGTTCGCTTATCAAAAAAGACATCAATTTCAATCACAATTGTTAAATTTAAATTTTTATTTCTTCTCAACTTTTAAATTGTAAAATGCACTGCTACCATATATGCCATATTATAATCAAAACCTTTGTGGTTTTCTTAAATGTGTATCTAAAATAAAGGTTTATATAATTAATGCATTTTGTACAAGAATAACTACACAACCTTCTTAGAAAGATGTATGTACCTAGGTACCAGTATATAGTTATTATGTATGTATCTATGTAAGTACCTACTTACCTAGCTAACTATAATGTAGGTAAGTGTAGCATGGATGTGTGGGTGTATGGATCACGTGTTACACTGCCATTCATATTAATTATTTTACCACAATTATACTTCAATAATCTCTTAGGTACCGACTCATTCAATAGTAAATATTTATTTATAATGTAGAATGTTTTTCATTAAGTCATGCAATATACAGTGCGTAAATGACAATGTGTAAACCTTACATTGACTAACAGATTTGAATTGAAATACCCCAATTATTTTTCTTTTTAACATAACATCACACCTTTTATCCCCGAAGGGTTTTTTTTTTTAAGGGGGGAAAATCATCGAATGACTGCTCCCGCCTGGGTGAGGCGGGAGGGAGTGTCAGACTCTTACTGACTAAAAACCACCCCGTTCCTTCTTCTGCACGGGATAGGCAGAGGTGTACATTACGGCACTTAATGCCACTTTACAATGTAACACCCACTTTTCACTATTTATGTCATGAGTCCCATTTATTAGGGGGTGAGCCTAATGCCATAATACCGGGCACGACTCCAGACTCCGTGCTAATACTGACAATTTTAAAAACTCAGTAGTACTTTGCCCGACTAGGGAATTGAACCCGAGACCCCTTGCCCGGTAGTCACACTTGCGACTACTCGGCCAACGAGGCAGTCTTTTTATTACAAATTATTTTTGTTTTTGTTACAAGATTTCGATCTTCTAATTTAGGAAGCAGTTGCACTTCTGTTATGTATGACACAACTGTCAAGTACAACAAGTGAATTTATTTCTGCAAATAGGCTACAAGGCAGCACTTTTACACGGCAATAATTGTCAGAGATTCAAATAAAATATTTAGGATAAGTATTGTTGCTGGTAGCTGAAATATTCCTATTAATCTATTATGCAAGCGTGCGTTTAGTTCGCGAGATTTATTTATTGTACAAATAATAATTAGGTATTTATTTTCCATCACATTTATTATTTTAATTTTGAAAAATGTTAGAATAATATAATTGTAAATATATATATTTTTTATTGTTATTCTATTATTATTATTATATATATGTATAATATTATAATAGTCACGGGCAAGTGCTGAAAATCAGCGCCGCGACTCGAGCACACTCGTGTCACGGCATTTAAGCTGAGCTCTGGCCTTTTTGCGCCGTCTTTACTGTATTGTTTTTTATTTTACTTTTTTGTGTTATTGTACCTTGTGACGGTGTGCAAATAAACGATTTTTCTTTCTTTCTTCTTTCTATTGATTCAAAATATTATCCAACAAAATTATTTCTATTAATTCAAACCGAAAATTTGCCAACGTTCAGTTCAGAACCGCTCTACATATAAAGCCAAATCCATGACACTATTCTAAAAATAACCGTGAATAACAATATTTGCAGCTTCACATAATATAAGCTACTGAATTAATTAAGCAAACATGTCTTACTATGAACACAGTATCAGTGCTGTGTCTGAGTCATAGACAACGCGACCACTTGTGCTACCTCGTGATAAAACCTTTTGTTTGGCTTAATACTTCTTCCGCGGTTCCAGGAATTAGTGATAATTTTATCTGTGGTTTAAAGTTGAGGTTACTTAGAATAAACTAATTAATGTCCGGTTTCCTTAGAATTAATATTGATTTTACACATCATTATGCTCGAAGTTAACATTATTACACAAAAAAGGAAGTTCTCACTCATATAACTGCACGGTTGGTGCGGTGCCTGGGCAACCGGCTGCCGTGCAACGTGTCGCGAGTTCGATTCCCGCACGGAACAACACTTTGTGTGATCCACAAATTGTTGTTTCGGGTCTGGATGTCATTGTGTAAGTATGTGAACTTGTATGTTTGTAAACGCACCCACGATACAGGAGAAAATCCTAATGTGAGGCAAAGTTTTATTAAAAAAAAAAACAAAAAAAAAATGTATATATACCCTATCCATGACGTCTGCTAAACCGATTTCTTTATGGAATAATAGGCAAACGAGCAGACGGATAACCTGATGGTTAGCGATCAGCGCCGACCATAGACACTCGCAACACCATAGGAGTCACGGGTGCGTCGCCGACCTTTTAAAAAGGAATACGCTCTTTTCCTAAAGGTTTAAAGGTCTTATAATAAGTTCTTAAGATTTTCGCGTAATAATAATTATGTAAAGTAAACTCACGCTGTATTATTTGATGGAGTGGAAGATGAATGAGTCATACGTTCGTTCATCGGACGATGATGGTCCTTTGAAGCAGTAAAATATTGTTAATACTTTTATTGCTTTTTTTCTCTTTCTTTAATCTGTACAAAACATCCAACTCATTATTCTTATTAAAAGAATTCAACAACATTTTCAAGTAAAAACAAAACAACATAAAGGCGTTACTTTTCATACGTTTTGTAACAAATAAATCCATCATCGTAATGAAACCTTCACGGTATACGTCGTTAAAACGACAGACATGTTTGTTTTGGAATAGCTGGCCGTAAATTCTTTAACAATAATAAACACCCTTAACTATATCTATCAGTTAAAAAAAATAACACGAGACGCAAACGATTATAAACCGTAACACTCCGAATTAAGAATTGAAATCCATTATGAAGGTGATGAAAATTTAAGTAGCGCGAGTTTGAGTTGATGCATTCCGAAGTGGCATGATGCATTCTTTGCCTTTGCTCATATATCACTGTGAAAAAAAAAGTCGCATTCCTTTACAAGCAAAGTGATCGTAAGAGTTACATATTTCACGGTTTGTGAGGTCATTATGTTCTGAGTGAATGAGTTACGAAAAAAGTTCATTGTTAATTTCACACTCGAGTGGAAACGATACCAAGAAGTGCTGAGGACTTTGTAAATACAACTTTGTATTTCTTTGTTATTTTCTTGTGAAATATCAGTTGATTAATGCGTAAAAAGTTTTTAATACCGACCGTTTTTAATGCGCATTTAGTCGGATGTCTCAAATGCGCACTTGACTTACATAAATACATATTACTTGATATTACACAAGTAGCTTGTAGCTTAGGTATAAAATGTAACAAACTAAAATCTAGATAGAAGTATAGCACTCTTTACAACAACTGGCTCATGCCCTAATTAATTTTATCGAAAACCGTGGCCCTCCCAGTATACACTTATTTCGACGCCCACAGATTTTTGCGTTTAGCTTAATTAGGGCAGGACGATATACTATCATCAAATCTAGATAATTATAGAGCACTCACTAAATGAATCCATCAACTATACTCGCCAGTGTGCAAAATGAACATAAAATCAAAAAGGTTACATTACCCGTAACGAACGTTCCAGTGATCAAGGGAACTTGATGTAAAGTTGCCTCGGGTCAAGGCGAGTAGGCACTTCACACATGCGAGTACGTGTAAACACTGCTTAGCATTGAGCTTTGACAGGTTTGACGTTTTTAAATTAGGAAACAATTTAAAAAACGAACGTTCTTCACATAAATTTTGTTTACTGGAAATTAAATTCTGTCTCTGTAATTTTATTTGTTACTTCATTTTATTACGATACGTCCGTCGTTTCTAGAAGTAATTGGTACAGAATTTGACCCAAATAAACACGTGTTTTATTTGCTCCCAATATTACGTCTTGTCCTTGGCAGACCTTGTTGTATTGCCCTGTGTACCTAGAGTAAATTGTAGACTTGTATATAGGTCAGAACAGAAAAGGTCTTTATCCTTTCTTTCAACATTAACTAATCCTTTTTACACGCATGGTGGTGGTTGTTGCTGATATCACTTTGTTTCTCTATAAAATAAGAGAAAAACTCACTTAATATCAACCATAAAGCCTTTGTCTTTAACCATACCTACTAACAATATTTAAAAAAAGAAAGAATTAGGTAATGTTGTCGCCAAGATATAAAGAATAAGGTTTTCTCTCAATATAGCCAATATATCCTGCAAAAGGACACTGACCCTGAACAAATATCCTTTAAATACAATACAAATTCACATATAAACGCAAATGCATCCGTAACTTTCACCAGCCACGCAACATTGTTGAGTAAACTGCACATGTCCAATTTAACCTGATCTCTAATGAACTGTCAAATGTTTTAGAATCTTTCTCTTTCCCTCCAATTCGTGGGTCAAGGATTACTGGTCGTAAAGAAATATGGCGGCAATGGGTTTTTCCGATGGTCATTGTAAAATGTGTTTGTTATTGGCGACGTTAATCTTTGCGGTTAGTTTGTTATGTAGAATATTTAAAAGCTGATAACGTTGTTTTGACTTGCAAGTCTTAATTATCATGTTCTAGGCATTGATCTAATTTGTTCAACTCGATGGTCTTTGGTCTATTTATCGTTTTTTTTTTTATTTAATACAGGGCGTCGCTTAACTATTGACTACCTGTATCGTACCAGTGAGTCACTTTGTAATCAATTTGTATTCACAACTTGCATTAGGGCTCCAAAAACATAACTAAAAAATGTTAAAGCGTTAGTAGCTATATAATAACATAACATCACGCTTTTTATTCCCGAAGGGGTAGGCAGAGGTGCACATTATGTCACTGTACAATGTAACACCCACTTTTCACTATTTATGTTATGAGTCCCATGTAATAGGAGGTGACCCTATTGCCATATACCGGGCACGATTCCAGACTCCGTGCTACTACTGATAATTTTTTAAAAAACCCAGTAATACTTTGCCCGACCCGGGAATCGAACCCGAGACCCCTTGTCCGGCAATCGCAATTGCGACCACTCGGCCAACGAGGCAGATAGTAGCTATATATGTTGGTACTTACTTAAATGCATTTCTATCACGACTAATTATATTATCTACAAATAGAATAACAAAACAAATAACAGATACAGTTTTTATAACAAGGATAGCTTTAAGGAAAATGCACGAAAAATCTTAACAAGGTATTGTTTGAAAAACAATTCAAGTTCAAATATTTCCTCATTATATTAATTGTCACCTAAATATATTATAGACGTAGCAAGTCAACTTACACCCATCTGTTGAGTATTTTCAACGCTATTGCCTACTGATAAAGTTTAAATTCATTGTACAGAGATTGGGTAAGCTTGATTTGCTGGTGCCGAGTGGTGCAGACGTAAATAATTTAGGAATAATAGATGACAGATTTTTCCCACAAGGAAAAAGTACAATCAACTAAAATAATTAATAGTAATGCTATTTTTTATAATATGGTCCGTTCTATTTGATTTCAAACCTTGTTAGTTTGTAATAAAGTTAATAATCATTTGATATCAAATAATTAGGTACATACTACGTAGATCTTATAACTTATTGCTTGAATTGAAGTACGAAAACACATTTCTGTTATCAGTTTTCGAGTATGGAAACCACTATTGCAACTTTATATTCTGAAGTTCACACTGAGAGTGGAAACTACTTATAATTGATATGGTTTTCTACTACATTTATTAATTTATTAACCTCAGTCATCAAGCACTTGGCAAGTACCTATGTTTCATTTATCTCATTCAAGTACCTATGTATATATACTTATATAATTTCTTCATATTTGAAGTTACGAAACCCTATTTAAATCTCGATACTGGAAAATGCATCCTTAACGTGATTGCAAAAAGTATTTTCTGTATTTTTGAACCCCGTGGGGTCCAGATTTTGTCATAAAACGAAAAAACCTTTGTATGTATGTAATTAGGATTTTTAAGAGGGGAAAATCATCTAATGACCGTGAGGAGGGAGGGAGTGTCAGACTCTTACTGACTAAAAACCACCCCGTTCCTTCTCCTGCACGCCGAGCCGGAGCCCCGGTAACCCGTTAAGTCTCGCGACTCCGAATCGGCATCGGCCCTGTTGGGCTCCATCTGTGAATTAGCTTAGATATAAAATATAATTACAAAGTACTATTGTATCTATAAGTTTTTAGCTAAAACTAAGTAAGTATTTAAAATAAATAAATAAAATATGCATCACATCAAACATGGCCATAGATCACTTGTATTGCACTTGAGTATAACTTTACGACCGCGCCGAGGACACATAAGTACTAAAATCTTTATTACTACGCAGTAACCATGGAATTCATGGACATTCCATTATGAACACATTAAACAGATTACTGATACTGGTCGGCCATATTCTTTTTTCACTGACAGATTTATCCTTTGTTTTGACTAAGATACTGCAGGTAGCCACCGTAGCCTAAGTACAGGCTACGGTGGCTGTTTATCATCAGAAGACCTGTAAACAATATAAAATGACTCTGTTCTGTGTACGTATTCTTAGATAGATTTTTATGCATTTTTTTTTTCCACTTTGTTCACCTGGGCCATATTAAATGACAGCATCCTTCATACGTAGCTTCTTTCATCATCTTTAAAGCATAAGTGTAGATTATAGGTACTCTTAATCCCAATGCAAAAACGTGTACCTATCGGGTTAGCTCGTCGAGTACCATCATTATAGACACAATTATAGAACAATAGGTTGCGGTCACCGGTGACCGCTTGGTGTCTGACAGTTTAAAGCGAGCACCGGAGTGCAATTGCCTCTAAATATCCTCTTTCAAAAAACAAACTGTAATATGTAGTTTTTTTTAAATGGGAAATGTCATCAAATGACTTCTTCCGCTTGGGTGAGGCGGGAGAAGTCTGTAATAGTTAGAGCATAAAAAGGTAACAGAAAAAAGTAAGAGAAATTCACTTCATGTTATATGAAATTTTTCTTGTCCTACCAGACGAATGCATCTATTGGAAACACCGCGTTCTTGTACATTATATTGGTTACCCTTACCCTACCGCAATCACTTCTATATAAGTATATTGACTGTACTTAAAGGAGTCTGTACCTAGACATCTCTGAAGACAAGAACGTGTCAGATAGACTAGACGAACAACACACAAATGACATATAGATTCTGCACAGTAAAACAAAGAAGATGGTTGTAATTTTATTTATTTATTTAAGCTTCATCCACAAAATGTACATAATGTGGACTTAATGCCGCAGGCATTTTCTCCCAGTCTAACCTTTGCGGTGATGCAGAGAAGAGTTAATGGTGTGAGCAAGAAGCAAGCAACGATTTAATAAAGCAAATAAAATAGATACACTTACATATTACAGAGATAAACATTAACATTATTATTACTACCTCTAGATAACGTAATTTTACTCACCGCTATTGGTCATTAAGTCCGTATGAGTAGGTAGTTTGAATTTTAATGGCTGAGTACTTGAGTAGTGTGTTCAGGGATTCTAAACCTTTTCATAGTGAAAAATATCATACCTGTAGCTGTACCTGTAGATAAAGAAAAACTACAACAGATCAAATCATAAGACAATGTCTGATAAACCGGACGAACATGATCAAAATCAGAGAAATAAATGTCTAAAGATTTTCACCTGTTATCGGTATTATTACATCAAGGTTTGTTTTAAATTGAGACTCTATGTAATTAACGATAATTTATAAAATTGCAAAACCCATTACATTGCGCGTCCCGAAGACTGATATAAGACACCATGCTTAACAATATATCCATAAGAAGACTGTAATTCAATATCAAATCAGCAAATTTTCCAGTATTTCTTATTCAAAGACCTTGTTCATTGAAGTGAATTCCTACGTCCAGGTTGGTGAACCCTACTCGACCAATCATCCTAATTGTATCAGATTGCTACTGATGAGCAGCTGAACGAAACTCTTAATAAATAAATTCTTCTAGGAAACCCTGAGTCATTGAAATATACCAATAGAAGAATTTGTCTTTGAAGAAAAGTTTCTTGAATTGATTGATATTGATGGTCATCATATATTTTGAGATGGCCAAAGATTCCGCATTTTGTACCTATAGCAAAAATGGTTTAATTTATATTTCGTGAAACCAATCAAGTAAATTTTACATATCTGTTAAAACTGGTACGCTTTTCACAGGTACATATTATGATCCTAGGGCCTGCTAATGTGCCTAATCAATGATTAACTAAGATGCAAACAAAAGTGTCTAGCTACTATACGCCATTATTCTTTTTGTTAACCACACGTTGGAAGCCTCCCTGGGCTAACACATGAACCCAATTAATGTCAATTCAATTTCAATCTCAATAATTACTCAATTTCAACACTATACAACCCCTAATCGTAGCTATTAAAATAGCATTCTGAGTACGGGATATAAAGCCAACCACAATACCACTTAGTTCATTCAATGTTCCATGCAATACGGATGCAATGGGCGCTAGTGTTGCAACTGAAAAGGACGAAATTTCACAATATCAATGTCGATGGATCGCAATTGGATCTAAGAGTAAGCCCCTTGATTTGACATCAACGCACTAATACAGCTTGATATTCTTTCATCGTCAAGATATGTATATAAAAGACCTTTAAAAAGGGTGCAGGGTGCCACCTGAAAACCAGCGTTGGGCAAAAACGTCCAACTATATGCTGAGGTGGAGGCCCTTTTGGCATGAGCACGCGCAAATTAATATTATTGTTTTGTTTAAATATTCTTTTTTTTTTATTTCGTTTATTCAAAATTCTGTTATTATCGTATTATTATTTTGTTACACTGTGATGTTTTTTGTTCTCATCTCTATATCTCTATTCTTTTAAGTTTATTATTAGTATTTTGTTTATATATCTGTATTTTTATTTTTTTATAATCTTTGTTTTATGTGCTAATTGTCAAATAAATGTTTTTTCTTTCTTTGTTTCTTTCTAAAACACAATCGATACCTAGGTGCAAACAACTAACATTCGTTGAGACTATTGGGTGCAACTAATGATGCGTCGGAACATGGGAGTGTCATTCACTCACTTTCTACAATTAGCTACTGACACGGCATAATGACTTGGAGATTATGGACGTGACAGCGCACACGTGTTACGTGAGCTTCGTTTACTATACACACATACATGATTCTATTTTCTT